TTCGCGAATGATTCATGAGTATATAATGAAATTTATATGTTAATTTGGTATGTTCGTTATCATATGTGCAATAGTGAATCAATTTGTTTATGTGTGATTACTTTGGCTTTTGTTGCAGCCTGAGTTCCAATGAGAAGTTTGAATTGCATTTAAGTTGGTTTAGTTGGTTTGTTACTTTTAACTTTCGTGGACGGAGAGACCTTCAGGTTTTAGTTTTTCTGTTTAATGCAGTCATTGAGAGATTGTGGTAAAGGCAGGGCAATTATTTACTTCCATCATGAAGTACTTGGAATATACTCCTCTGGACCGGTGAGTTTCAAAACTTTGGCAAATAAATCATTTTGGTTACGATTGGATACGGAAAATTTTCATTTTCGCCTCGGTGGACATTTTTTTCCGATTGAGACTGTGATTGGATACACTGACATCTTTAAGAAAATACAATATTCATCAACACAATATAGAAATAAAATCAATCATTACTACACATATCCTAACAAGAAAACTATTCACCCACTCACATAATTATGAATACCAATCAGTATTGAATTATTTTTATATCAAATCAATTATCAACATTCCATTTTTGTCTTATGTACATTCACAATCTCTAAAATATTTCATTCTTAATTCTACTTTTTCCACCTTTCCATCTCTCTTGTTCGCAAGACAAAATTTCCGCAAAAGATATACTTGCCCCTTTTGTTTTTCCCCATTTTTTCACTGTTACAGTCAGTTTAATTAACTGATAGATTTCTTATTCCAGAATAAATGATTTCTTGAACCATGTAAATCTTGGAGAACGTACTATCAAAGGATGCCTGGAAGCTTACTCATGTAAGTGTGATCTTTCAAATATCAGAGTGCACAATTGTAAGTGGTAATTGAAGTAACTGTAGTTTTGCTTTGTTCTTTTCTAGGCAAACATACAGGAACAGATAAGAAGCTGTCTCTCAGCCTGGAGAATGAGGTGAATATTGTTTCTTAATCTCTCTTTATCTCTCTCTCTCTCTCTCTCTATCTCTCTCTCTCTCTTTCTCTCTCTCTCTCTCTCTCTCTCTGTGTGTGTGTGTGTGTCTCTGTCTCTCTCATTGGGTAATTGATTCAAACCAATTTAGTTCTTTTTGGTCTTAGTTTGATGGTTACTACTCTTAGTTTGTCTTCTTCTCACTTATCATGGACATCTATTTAAGGACTTACTGATGTTATTTCCCTATTTATTTATTGTTTGGTAATCTAGTTAAACCTCCCAAGGACCAGTTTTTATAATATGCCAGTTTGTTCATTTGAACTTTTGGCTTGTGAATCCACATTATATTTTTTCTATGCCGTGTTTCCATTACAATCTTAGAAACATATTGCGAAGTTTCTAATTTCCTTTCATTTCTTTCAAATGTAGATTCTTGATCACCTTGCAAAGTCATCCGATACTGACTCCTCACCAATTGAATATCTTTTTAGTAGATCGAGGTTGCTGGAACAATTTTAAAGTTTTTCATCGGTTCATTGTCTTGTGTGATGTGGCCACTTCCTCTCTCACTTTTGTTATTTATTCTTCTTCTTTTAACATATAAACTTGGCAGCCGGAAGACACTGGTTTATCTTCTTTTAACTCTTCATCACATGTATCCGGACTACGACTTCAGGTAACTCTGTATCATATGTTCAATTCTGTAATTGATTTAAAAAGGAGCCGAAAAGGAGGATTATGGGTAATGCCACTGTCAGCTTTCTTGGCGACGTGGCATCCCGTTAAATAGTCCTTTCTTGACAGCTTTGGGAGTGTTGTCAGAAGGTTTGACAGACAGTTTAGATTACTGTTTAGTTGAGAGTTCAAGTCTCTCCATTTCCCAACACCGTGTGTCACTTGATAGTTCTTTTTAGTTTCTATTCCTTCCATCTGCATTTTCTATGCTAGACTGGTAATATGCTTTTAAACATTATTCATTATTATTATTATTATTATTATCATTATTATTATTATTATCTACCAGTGCAGTGAAAGCTCACGAGTTCTTCACAGAAGAAAGCTGGGACAGTTTTAAGCAGATTTTCGATGTTTATATGTTTGAAGCCTCAAAGGTAATCGAATTGTATCTTCGTTAGCCTTGATTTGTAGGCAGAAGGATATGCCAGCTAGCTTTAAGTCCCTATAGCATAAGAATGACAAAGTCTTTTTTTATGCCAGGAAGTGTATCACTAGTAAAGCTGTATTAGATAATACCAATCGCAATTAGTTTGTTAATCTGTTCTAAGTTGAAACTTGAGACGTCACTTGTGTGTACATACTATAAATGGTTGTCGTGTTGTTGAACAATTTTATGTCACATTTAATTGATAAACCAAACCCACAACAATTTGCAGTGAACAGAGCTCGAGAGCCAACTGAAACTTCTTGTTAGGTGTTATTGGGTGCTGAATGGTCAATACTTTTGAATTCATGTTATGAGCATGCAAATGAATTTCTAATTATGATGCTTAATGGTATATTTGTTTCTCGAGTCTCTCCTTAAAGTTTTTATCTGCTTGTTAGTTGGATGCTGTCGTTTGCAAAGAACGGGATGTGCCAAGTGCTCGTGATTTTATAATTGCATAAATTCCAAAATTAACTTTAGGTTTCACCTTGATACAGCAGTTCCATTAGTCTTTCACAATTGTAAATACCCTGCACTGGCTTTCAATCTCGGGAGGCTTGTATTTACGCAACAAATTGTCTCCTGTTTTGGATGAAATTGTGAAGTAGAAAACAGTTACTGGGTATTTGAATTTGAAGAGATGACTGCAACTGTTGCAGTTGAAATGCAATTTGAAGGGTTTAACTGCAATCATGTATCTGAATTTTAAATTCGCTCCATTTATTACTATTAGTTTCTTATTGTCGGTTTAATGCTTCTCCGTGAGTTGTCATCTGATATGCTTTTTCTCTAGGTGGTATGTAATTAACCGAGTGTCTTAAAACTTATGATTGTAGGAGTGGCTCGAGGAGAACGAAGGAGGATCCCTACTTGAGGCCTTGTACAAAGCCTTAGATGAGGTATCATAACCTTTAAAGAAACACACTAACTGAACTTCAAAAGGGTGAAATAAGATATAGCTGTTTGATCACATGGTTGTGGCCACAGGTTGTAAAACTATCAGAATGTGAAGTTTACAGTTACAACCCTGAGGCTGAAGCAGATCCACTCCTTGAGAAAAGAGCTATGTAAGCTTTTATTCCCAACTATAGTTACGGCTTATTTAGCTTTAGTCTGTATCTAAAATCTGTTCATTTTTCCATTATTCTTTTCTTTTTGTTGATTTTTTATTTTTTTTTTCTAATCCTGTAGATGGTCATATCATTTCTTCTTCTACAACAGAAAGCTTAAGCGTGTTGTAAGCATTCGTTTTAGCTGCTCAAGGTAAAAGCTTTTGAGTACCATTCATCTTATAGTATTTTTCTGCAAGAAGCCATCTTCTCGGTATATAATTACAAATACTACCCTTAAAAAATAGATTAGTTGCAAGAACCCTGGTTATCTATCAAAATGAGATTTTATTTCAAAAAAATCGACCTTATTTGGGATGGGTATTTATAAACCAAGTACAAGTGAGGGAGGGTACGCTATACAGAAAAGCCTCAAAGTCTCAATCACCCACTCTTTGTGGCAGCAACTTGATGAGTGAAGGCTTTTATGACGACGAGTTGAGTCAGGAGGATGGTGAAATTTTTGACGACATGGACATGTAAACGACGAACCACTGGAAGCCCATCCTTGGTATTGCTAATTGAAGGCTATGTATCAACCTTCTCGCGTGTAAGCATGGATATATACAGTAGGCGTGGGATGTGTTTTTATGTATATGTGGTTGTTAATATTTTACCCCTATCTTGCTTGTCAACACGGTAGTAAGGCTGCAGATGACTTGTTGTGCCTGTATCGACTTTGATACTTGAGACCATGCGTGTTTGTAAAATTTGAGATTCTGAGGTTGTGATGTGAAATCGTCGAAGTTGTTGGTGTCACATTTTATTTTTTTATTTATTTATTTATTTTTTTTTTTTCGATTAGTCACATATTTGTCTTGATAAGGTGTATGGCAGGAGAGATGTATGGGGTAATATAAAGTGATTGAAAAAGAAAAAAAAATTGAGCTAATTATTGTGAATGTGAGAAGTTTACATTAGTAATCAAGAGTCAACATTGTTGCGGAATCCCCCTACTCACGGTGGACACATGTTAATATGTTCATCGCTTATGTGGCATGCACACATTGGAGATGTTAATATGTTCAAAAAAATACATCACCAATGTGTGCATGTCACATAAGCGTTGGGCATGTTAACATGTGTCCACCATGAGTAGGGGAGCATTACTATATAGTTATAACTATTGGGTCTATCGGGTGAAATTTCATAAGCGTACATCATTGAACAGAAGTTGTTGGGTATTTTCCCGTCGAAGGCCTGCTCGAAGCGCCGTCAATCTTTGGAGGTAACATGCAGCCAGGTAGAGTCCAAAAAGCTCCCGGTCAGTCTCGGGCTCATCCTGGTTGGTCCCGAACAGCAGCCAAAGCAAGCTTGGACAGCTACCGAGCGATCCTCGACAGCGCTAAACGATGTCGGACAACACCTCGTAGTCCCTAACACATAAAAGAAAACATAAAAGAATACAATGAAGCTCTAGGCAAGTCACTCACTCCCCTTCTCTGTGAGTGAATGACTCGTGGTCTGAGGAGCTTGGGATACTAGACAGGGTGTTGGGAACTGATGCGGAATTTAGTGGTCAGGTTTTAGATTAGATTCAGCATATTCTCATCTCGAAGGACGGTTTGGACGGTATGAGGTGGAGACTTACACCTTCAGGTGCATTTTCTACGACCTCATCTTGGAGGGAAGTTCAGCTGGGTGACCGGCCTAACCTTCTCTTCGGGACCATTTGGACCGACCTGCTTGTCCCGACCATCTCTGTTTTCCTTTGGCGCCTCCTTCTGTGCCGAATTTCGATCGATGTTGTAATGCAGGCGATGGGGTTTTCTTTCTCTTCGCGTTGTTATAGTTTTGTCGAGACCGGACATTTTCAGACTGAGACTTTTGCCATTTGTTTTTAGAGAGTGAGGTTGCGAGGAGAGTGTGGGAGCACTTCGCCATCATATACCCCTACCTACCACATACAGTTTTTTTGAGCTTCTGAGTTTTTTCTCACAGCGTACACACTGTAGACACGTGGGCTTCCTCAATCCTTGTCTGATCTTGTGGTCTATCTGGACAGAAAGGAATAGTGCGAAGCATAGGGATATTTATTTTTTGTGGTCTCAGAGCATCCACAACTCTTAACACAAAAATTATTCATTCAATAAAAAGTAACACTTTCTCTCATCCACATCATCTTCACATCATCCTTCCACTAAATCTCTCTCCATTTAAACAAACACTCACATTCCTCCACATTTTAAATACATATGTGGGACACATTATTCACTCATTCAATATACAATAATAATAAAATTTAGTATTTCATTAATAAAATTTTTATAGGCAAAGAATGGGAATAGATAATGTAAATTATTGATGCATGTTGGAAAGTGTGATATAGATAAAAAATAAATTAAATATAAAAATAAACAGAAAACATAGTCAATAAATATTTATTTTTTTTTTAAAAAAGAAAGAAAGCATGTTGTTGTGTGGCAGATTTTACACAAGAAAAAAGGGAAACAAATGGCCGTTCATTGAAGTGAACGGATAGAGGGTGGCCCACCCTTTAATGAACGACCACAATGCTCAAATATGCCATGTTGGCATTTAAACAATTTGAACGGCAATTGAACGCCCCCCACTGCGGGTGCCCTCACATTAATTTTGCAGGTTGATCGACATCTCTCTCTCACACAGCTTGGGCAGACTCACTCCTAGAGACTAGACAGGTTACACGTCGCGCCACCGCTTCTTTCCATCTTTGTTGCCGCCTATCCAGCCCCCACGCCCCAAATCCGTTGTTCGGCTAAGACCTGAGTCCCCTTGGGTTAAGCTAAATACCGACGTATCTTTCGACCGACTTACCGAAGTCGCCGGAGGTGGGAGCCTGATTAGGGATCAGAGAAGAGCTCTCATTACTGCCTTTCACACCCCTCTTCAGGCCTCCTCGCGTTACGACGCGAAGGTTCGGGCACTTCAGATCGCTCTTCAAATCGCAGCCTCTACCTCCGATCACATTTTGATTGAGTTGGATGTTGCCATTGTCACCACCCTCTTGACATCAGGCCATCACGGCTCGTGGAAGATTCAACACCCACTCATGCGCATCAGATCTACACTTCAGTCGGTTCACTTCCGAATCTCGCACATATTTCGCGAGGGGGAAACGACGCTTTGACTTCCTTGCTTGCATCGGTGCCTCCACTCCCAAAAGCGTATTCTTCATCCAAACGACGGTCTTCTTCGACTCTGCACCCTTGTGTGGATGGATCAGATAGGCTACCTGTCGTTCAGATTTGGTTAGTCATTTTGTATTTTTGTATTCGTGGTGCTGACTACTCGCTTGGGATTCTTTTGACGCAGGCTCATGTTATTTTGGTTGTTGTATTTTTTTTTTTCTTTCATTCTCCTTTTTTGTTTCTGTTGTTATTTTTGGTTGTCATCTGAACGTGTAGACTTGTGACGTTTCAGCTCATTTAGAGCATTATTTTTATACAAGTTGGTGGTCCAACCTTAACCCCCCCTCCTCCCCCCTTCCTTGTCGGGGTGATTTTTTTTTTTTAAAAAAATTAGAACACAATTAACAGCAACAATTGAAGCTATAAATATAAAATATGCAAACTAAGAGAGTTCTGATTGAGAACGACTACACCCTTTTACATAGACGAATTTGGAAGCCAAACATGAAATATTGAATTACACAGGCTCAGGCCCCGTATAATAGTACCCACGAGAATCACAAAGATACTAACTCCGAGCCATGGTCATTCGAACCACCGGCACCCGAATCCCAAATACCACAAAGCCTTGCAAAAAGCAGACCCCGGAATAATCACGAAGATGATACACGAACAAATATTTTGTATTTTTTCTCATTCTCTCTACTCAGTTTTTTCTTTTCTCAAATAATTGCCTAGCCACTAATAGGTCACACGCACTACAGACACATAACTCACACCTTCCACAAAGCTAACACATCACTATTGTGCTTTTTTCCTCACGCACACACAAGTACTCATCTTTTACATTTTAGCCATAGAGAATCACTTCCTCACACACAGCAATTTGTTTTTTCTTTAAGCATGC